GGAGAAACTGGAACCCTTGTGCACTGCTGGTAGGAATGTAAAAATTGTACAGTCGCTAATGGAAAACAGAACGGAGGTTCTTCAGGAAATTAAACATAGAATAACCGTATGATCTAGCAATCCCATGTTCGTGGCAGCATTATTCACAACAGCCGAGAAGTGGAAGCAACCCAGATGTCTCTTGGTGGATGGATGAATAAAATGTGGTGTATGCGTATGATGGAGAATTATTCAGCCTTAAGTAGGAAAGAAATTCTGACATGTGCTGCAGCATGGATGAACCTTGAGGACACTATGTTCCATGAAATTAGCCACAAAAACAGAGACATTATATAATTTCACTCATAAGAGGTACCTAGAGTAGTCAAACTCATAGAAAGTAGCATGGGCTTGTCAGGGGTGGGGAGACAGGGAATGGGGAGTTACTATTTAATGGGTATAGAGTTTCAGTTTTGTAAGATGGAAAGAGTCTTGGAGATGGATGGTGGTGATGGGTGCACACTAATGTGAATGTATTTAACACTACTGAACTGTACAATTAAAAATAGGGTGATAAATTTTATATTTTGTGTATTTTATCACAATTTTTAAAAATTTGAAAATAAGAGATTCAGAGAAGGAATTGGTTTATCAAATAAAATTTAGTGAAGGGGCGCCTGGGTGACTCAGCTGGTTAAGTGACTGCCTTCGGCTCAGGTCATGGTCCCAGGGTCCTGGGATCGAGCCCCGCATCGGGCTCTCTGCTCAGCGGAGCGCCTGCTTCTCCCCCTCCCACTCCCCCTGCTTGTGTTCCTTCTCTCGCTGTCTCTGTCAATTAAATAAGTAAATAAAATCTTAAAAAAAAATTTTTTTTTTAAATAAAAATTCAGTGAAAACAAGTGGGGGAGACGAAGAATATAGTGAGGTATGTCCTTTGTAAACCGTCACTGTCACTGCAGAGCCTGAATCCTGGCCTGTCCCTGAAAGGGTCACCTCCCCGTGGCCTTGGGGTCAGCCTGACGTGCAGAGCGCTGGGGGTACCACGAGCCCAGCAGACCTAGGCCCCGTCCCTGGCGCTGCCCCCACAGGTTCTATGCCTGGAGCCTCGTCTCTGCCCCATTAGCTTCCCCGTCCGCTCAGTGGGGTCCCACCACCTGTCTCTAATGCGTGGGGCAGATTTGGGAAGCAGACATGGCACAGGGCTGGGCGGATGGTGCCTGGTCATCGCTGGGAGGAATCAGCCCCTGAAGGAGCGCCATCCTCTGCAGCGTTCTGACCACGATTTCTGTCCTTCCTCTAGGCCGGCTTGTCCATTCATGGGTGAGGGATTTCTTCTCTTCCTTTGCAGCTGAATCCCCGGAGTAAGGAAAGCTCAGCACTGTCTTTGCTGAGAACCCGCTCTGGCATCTTGTAGCTCTTATTCCAAAGCCCAGGCTTTTTCTAGTAGGACTGTTCTGAACCTCTCCATTCTACAGGTCCTCAGCCCTGGTGGTACCCGCCCCATCCTGGGCAGAGGACATCACCTATTTTAAGGAAAGGCCAGGCAACTCAGCATGAACATCCCTGTGGCCACCCATCTGTCCCTTCTGAGGCAGGGCCCCCATCACCATGCCTTCAGCACACTCTTTCCCACTGTCCCTGCTCCACTTTTTTTTTTTTTTTTTGAGGCTGCCTGTTTACCAGTCTATTTCCCTAGACCTTCACGGCGAACGGGAGAGGGGAGAATATGTCTCATTTCCTAAGTGGGGAAGGAACATAATTTTCCCTCCACCCGTATTACTTCCTGTAGTAAAAGATTAACAGGAGAGAAACACAAAACTTTTGTAACGTGTGTATCTCCTGCATACATGGCGAGACCCAGGGGAACTGAGTAACTCCCTAAATGGCCCGCACCCTCCCCTTAGGTACTATCTCCAGCTAAAGACAAAAGATGTTGGGGCCTCAGGAGCCAGGTGTGGGAGGTTTGCAGGCGAAGCACAGTGAAGAAGGGTAAAGTTACGCATCTCTCAGTCTTTGCCTTGGGCACTGATAGAGCTTCTAGAGATGGAGAGCCATCCTCCTCTTGCTGGTACAGTAGGAAGATAACCTCACAAATGGAGACACCCCTTAGAAATGCAAATGACTCTTCTAAAAAAGGGTCCCTTCTAACAGAGCTTCTCCTGTGTTTCTTAAAAATAATCAGCCTGAAGTAATCCTCCTGCCAAAGAGGCATATTCTGGGGCGACAAACTCAGCTCCCCTGTGGCTCCCTGAGTGCCCTGCTGGCCTTTCCCTCTCCTTTGGTTGCTTCCTGTTCTCCCCTCATGCTCTTGCTTCAGGGGACACGAATCCCCTCTGTAAGCATACTCCCTCTGTCCCCCAGCCATGTCCAGCCCTCTCTGGGCCCACGACTGCCGCCTTACTGGCTTTCTCGGCAACCTAACACACACCCACGTCATTGGTGCAATAAACTCTTCTCAGCGCCCCTCTAAGCAAGTGGTTCCCGAACCTCCACTTCCATCCCATTTCACACTGAGCCTCTGGAAAGATGAAGGGGCTGAGGGCCCTGTGAAATGGCAGCATGGTTGTTGCAGTGAGGGTTCCCCAAGAAGGAGACGCAAGAGGAACAGGCTCTTCTGGTCCTGCTTTCTCCCTAAATACCACTCCAGTGACCCAGAAAGACAGAAGATGAGGGAGGGCAACGAAATTCTGGAAGACAGAAAATGACTTAGCAGCCTGGAGAAACCAGACACCGGAAGTCCCTGCGTGGTGCGAAGCCAGCAAGCAACTGGTGACCAGTACAGCAGGCGGCCAGAGAAACTCCGGACCCATGGGCCTAGGAAGAGGAGGGTCAGGGAAGAAACAGCAGGAAAGGGTGAAAGTCTGTATAGGGAGCAGACACCCAGTCTCTTCTTCCCAGCAGGGAGCAGGTGAGACACTGTCCAGAGAGGCTTGATACTGGGGACACTGGTCCCAGCTGGGGTGGGGTTGGGCGGCACCCAGAAAATGGAGATCGAAGGAAATCTGCATGCCTATAGATTCTGTTATCTGGAGTGCCCCACCCCAGCCTGCACCGCCCAAACCTACTGATCCCCCACACGAGGCTTGCCAACCATCAGGCTCTCTCCCTCGCACACAGAGCCTTCATTGCCTATATGATGTCTGGATTCTCAACATGAAAGGCCAGTAGCCAAGGATTACCAGCATTTGAAGAAAACCTCTAAAGAAACACGCACCAAAACAAAAAGCCAGGCAGGCAAAGATGAAAACGTAAAACCACCACCCAAACCCATGATAATTAATACCTTCCCAAAGATGAGAGGTGGCTTCGAGCTGGAAAAGAACTATGATGGCAAAAATAGACAGAAATTCATAGAAGGACTGAGAGTTAAGTAGACTATAAAGAAAAAAACCTGGAAAAAGGGAGGAGAGAGAGAAAATGGGAAAATTAATCCAGGATACACAATACCTGAGTATTAGGAGACCAGAAAGAGAACAAGAAGGTAGAAACAAGAAGGAAACTCCCCGTGGTCCAAGATGGTGAGTTTTCAGATAGAAATTCCCAGCACAGTGAATGAAGGAAGCCCACAAGAAGTGGGGTACCTGGGCGGCTCTGTTGGTTAAGCATCCGACTCTTGATTTCAGCTTAGGTCATGATCTCAGGGTCATGGGATTGAGCCCCACGTTGGGCTCTGCGCTCAGCACAGAGTCAGTCTGCTTGGAGGTTCTCTCTGTCCCTCTGCCCATCCCCCACTCGTACTCTCGCTTGCTCTCAAGTAAATCTTAAAAAAAACACACATACACAAAAAAATACACTGTAACCTCAGAATCTGAGGGGAAAAAGGAAGACCTCACAGGTCTCCAGAGAGGAAAGCTCAAGTCCTGAACAGAGGATGGTGGAGTCCAATGGCACTGGGCTTCTCAACAAGAACATGGGAAACAGAAAACAAGAATGCCTTTAAAGCTCTCAAGAAAACTGTTTCTAGAATTCTCCACTGAGCCACACTGTTAATTAAGGATGGGAAAGAATTAGCTTCAGCAAAATGAGGGAGTTGAGGAAGATGGGGCCACGGGATGCGGGGGCTCAGGGAAGCCCTGGGTGGCATGGCAGGACACGCCATGAATGGAACCCAGTCCCTGGTGGTAAAAAGAGACACAGGGGGTGCCTGACTGGCTCAGTTGGAAAAGCATGCAACTCTTGATCTTGGGGTCATGGATTTGAGCCCCGTGTTGGGTGTAGAGGTTACCTGAGTAAATAAACTTAAAAAAACAAAAAAGAACAGAGGCCCCAAATGGCTGCATTTTAGGCCAAGTCACTGAGTCAGGACTTTACATCTAACCTAATTATACTTTCAGACTTCCTAGAAACGTAGTCTTAACCGGTCAATCAGGAATTTTCTGCTTTGCACTGATGAAGTAATCTGTCACGTGGGCCCTCCCCCATCCCCCAGAGGAACAGGAGGTTCAGGAGGTGACCTGCCTAGTAAGACTGCCACCTGAGGGAAGGTGACCTTGCCTGGAACAATCCTTTTCTTTTGCTAATAAATTCCTTGCCCCACCTGCCTTCCCGTAAAAACCTTCCATTTTGTGCAGCAACTCGGAGCATCCCCTCTATGGGCCAGATGGGAAGCTGCCTGATTCATGAATTGAGTCATAAAGGCAATTAGATCTTCACACTTACTGAGTTCAGTTTTTGTTCTTTAACAGTGGTCAGGCCTGAAAGGATGCTTGCAGCACTTTCGGAAAATGAGAGGCTGAATTACTGTCAGAGAAACTTGAGCAGAGGGGGAAAAAAGCTGCAAGCAATTTTTAATTCCAAGAAAAACAGAAAAGTTGTCCAAGAAAGGAAATTAATGGTAGTACACTCTGTGCCTTATCTGAGAACAGTGTTTACATAGTTCTGATGCTGAAATGAATACGGCTCTGCCCGAAACCGTGACAGCAGTCAAAGGGAGGGACGGAGGGACGGAGGGACGCGGGGCAGGGCGGGCGCGCGTTCGGGGCTCGGGGCGTGGCGCGCAGTGCCTGTGGCGGGAACGAGCCCAGCCAGCAGGGAGCGCGGGCCTCCCGGGCAGGACGAGCTGGACTGTGGGTGCGCAGCCCCCCGCAGCAGCTTGCTATTAGGACCTCCTTTTACAGCCGAGGCGGAGAGGTTAAGTGGTTTGCCTCAAGTCACAACCCAGGCAATTGGGTTCTAAAGTCTGCGCTTTAAACCACCATGCGAGCCTGGAAGGTAAGACGTAATTTAAAACCTCAAGAAGTAGCAGTGCGTAAGTCATCAACAATATGAAGACAAATACCAAATGCCACAGCTTAAAGGCTTAAAAGTGTTGCCTCCAGGGAGTGGAAAAGAGTAGGCAGTTTCATTGTTCTGGTAAAGCTATTTGACTTTTTACATTATGGACACATATTACTTTAAAATTTAATCAAAGAGAAAAGCTAGGGCACCAGTGATTGAGAGGAGCGGGTCTCCAGTTTGGACTGGCTTTGCCGGGCTGTGCGTTCTTAGATCCTCACCAAACCTGAGAGCAGGCATCACCGGACGAGATGTTTCCAAGTTTCCTTCCAGCTCTTAAGGCTCTGGCAGGGAAGAGGACCACTTAGAGGACACTTAGAGAACAGGCACCGTGGAGAGCAAGCGAGGGCGACGGTGGGGTCCCTCGGCTGGGTGGGGTGCCGCTCTGGGCCAGCCCCGAGGTGGCCTCTGTGAAGGGGCCTCCAGGTGGGCAAGCACCCCCTGGGGATGGCCCGGGGCGGGGGGGGGGCAGGGAGGAGAGCCGTGGAGCGTGGCTGAGACCCTCTGGGCGCTGCCCTGGGGAGAGGCTGCAGGGAGCGGAGGAGTAGGCCCATTTGGGGTTGGGGGCAGTCCTTGGGCGAGGGTGGTGATGGCGACCAGGGTGAGGGAGGGCTGGGCCCAGGGTTCCCTTGGGAGGAGCTGTGGACAGATGGTGCCAGCAGCCAGGATGCAAGTGTCAGGGACTCAGGAGGCTCCTCCCAAATGCCTGGTCTCCAGGGCTGGTGCGCAGCCCACCCCTCTGTCCGCGTCGCTCCTCTCGACACCCTCTGTGCCCAGGTTTGCCCATCCTCCCTGGTCCCCCAGCAGCGGCCCTGGGTGCCTACATGGTCCTCATCCCTCTGTACCTGCGCTCCAGCTTCTCCTTGATTCACCTCCAGACTTTCGGGCCCAGCACGCCCCCCCTTCACACCCCACAGCTCTAGTTTGTCCTTCCCTGTGACCAGAGTCACAGAACTAGAGCTCCCACCGCGTCCCCGTCCTGCTCACAGTGCCCAGCACGCACCTGCACAGGCAGCCTGGTGCTCCCACGGCAAGCCTTTCCGACCGCAGTTTACCCGAAGCCCGCGGAACTCCTGACGCTCCGCAGGCTGGTGACCGAGGCAGTGGACGGGAGAGGAGTGGGCAGGCGTCGGCAGATGTGTGGGTCTCTGGGGGCCGGGCGCCCTCCCCGGACGCCCTGAGGAGGTGGAGCGAGGCCCAGACCCCACACCAAAAGTGGAAGTCCTGCGGGCCTAGTGTGACTTCTCCAAGGGCCACTTGCCACGGGACTGACATCAGGGGGCGGTGCCCTCCCGGGGCCCCTGGCTGGTGGCGGGCTGCCACCAGCACATAGCGCGGGAGGGAGGCCGGCGAGGCGCCAGGCCCTGAGGAGAGAGGGGCCCGCCTGAACTTCATCATTTGTGTGAGTCACTTTCGCACAGGTGACTCTTCTCAGTTATGCAACCATCTGTGGCCCAGACCCAGGTGAGCAGTAACTACCTTCACACGAGAGCCGAGGTTGCTGCGCTGAGTCACAGTGAGTCACAGGGAAGCCTCATTAGCCTCTAGGACCTTGGAAAGGAACCGGAAGGTGTGATCGTTCAAGTTGGCTGCGTCCTGCCGCCAGAACCAGAATATAAGCTTAGTGCTGAAACCTGACTACTTTATAGGTGTGTGTGTGTGTGTGTGTGTGTGTGTGTGTGTGCGTACATGTAGGTATGTTTGCTTACCGGTACCTCTAACGTAGCTATAAAAAACATTTATAGTGTAACTTTTAAAGTCCTTTCAAAAACATTAAAAACTAACTGGTCTAAGAAACAGCAGCTCTGCAGGGCTTGACCCCAGACAGGCTGGCTCCTTCGGACGCGTCTGTTCTTTCCCGAGTGCCTTCGCCCAGTAGCCGGTGAAGGGTGGCGTGTTTCCCGGGGTCGCCGAGCCCCCCAGGGATGGTGCAGAGTAGGGGGCTCCGGGCTGTGCTGCCGTCGTGAGCCCTGCCAGCCCAGCAGAGCCCGGCCCCTTGCCTGCCCGGCCCTCCCCAAAGCGTCCAACCCCCACCAAGCCTGCGGGCTCTGCCCGGACCGTGTGTACCGTCTGCTTGCTCTCTCCCCCGCAGCTTCCTGGCCCTCATGGCCCGCGTGTTCGTGTACGGGACCCTGAAGAGAGGCCAGCCCAACCACCAGGTCCTGCTGGACCCCACCAACGGCTGCGCCGCCTTCCGCGGCCGAGGCCGCACGCTGGAGCCCTACCCCTTGGTGATCGCCGGTGAACGTAACATCCCGCGTCTGCTCAACCTCCCGGGGCAAGGGCGGCTTGTGCTCGGCGAGATCTACGCCGTGGACGAGCGGATGCTGAGCTTCCTCGACGAGTTTGAGGGCTGCCCGGACGTGTACCAGCGCACCCCGGTGCGGGTCGCGGTCCTCGAGTGGGAAGGCGCGCGCGGGGCGCCCGAGGAGACACCGGCCGCCGACGGGACCCTGCAGTGCTTCGTGTACAGCACGGTCACCTACGCACCCGAGTGGGTCCGCCTGCCGCACCACGACGACTACGACTTCCAGGGTGAGCACGGGCTTCGCTACAATCCGCGGGAGAACAGATGACAAGCGCGAGGACCAATCCTCCGCTGGTCCGCCAGGGGCCGGGGGACAGAGCCCCGATGATGAGACGCCCTCAGCCCGTCTGCACTCAGTGCACCCGTGTAATAATGTCCTCTGAAACACTTATAAAACTCAATCTGTGGGAAAAGGAACAATCTCTTTTTCAGCTGCAGCCGATTTTCCCAATATTTTGACACACTGATCACAAAATTATGCCTGAAGTCTGTCTAGCCGACAGCGCTTTGTTGCTTGCTGCTTCCAGAATGCCACGGGCTTGAATAGATCAGATAAGGAAAATTCAGGATCCTAATTCCCCTAAATGACATTTCAAGAACTCATATGTCACTTTTTTTTTTTTTTTGCTTTGCTTTGATCTGAAGATAACATTTAAAATGTAGACTTCGTGTAGCAGCTAGATTTTAGCAACCCTACTGTATTGATTCTAACTTGTGGCAGCAAGAAGAATAATTTTTTAAACTGATTTGGGTTATCTCAGTGTAATAAAAGAACCTCAAGAAAAACATTGTGTTTGGGGTAGTTTTAGAGCATATAAAACATTAGTATTCACAATTTTCAGATCAAGCTTATTAAAGAAGGGATTACTAAAGATGATCATATAATATTAAACTGGATGTTTTAGGAAACCAAATTTAAAAGTGTTGGTACTACTGTTGGCTTTTTTTTGGGAGGGGGAGGGGGCTTTACTTACTTGGTAGAAGGTTCTTTTCATTCTAATCTAGCAAAATCACAAGCCACCTACTTGCTGCTGGCAGATGCTGCTGAACACCCCGATTTCAGATGGAAGCTCACCCAAGCCCGAGGCCCAGTGGCAAGGTGCCGTCCCTGCCTCCGAAGGGAGCAGCATTTGGGGGGTTGGGTGGCCTTTCAGAGAAGAACCAACACGTTAGTAATTTGTTCTTCAGGCCTGACAGAAAGCTTAGCTTCCAAATACAAACAGCACTTAAAATAATTTTAGCAAGGCACGAAGTACCAATTACTACCCACCTCCATCTGATAATCTGTCAGCGTAGATTCAGATCAGCGCACGACTCTGCCTCTGTTTACTTACCAGCAAAGTATGAAATGTATTCCAAGAATTTCAGAAGCAACTGACAACACAGCTGCTGATCCTTAGTAACCTCGTTCTCCGCTGGGAGAGCTCCCTCGCTCTTCAACTTAATGGTAGACTGTGATCACTAACTGCATCTGGCATAAAAACAGGATCAGTATTTTTAGCCCTATTTTCTTAATTGGAAACTTGCTTCACAAAAACACAAAAAGGCAAGGATGGGTATCAACTGATGGGCTTGTGGCAGCCACACCCACCACTCCTGGGGTGAGAGAGCCCCAGCAAAGCCTGGGGGATGGGGAGGGGGGCCGCCCGCCGGGTCCGTGGGCCCCGCACTCACCCGTGGGAGCCGCGCAGGAGGGATTTCCAAACTCCTCGGCGGCCCCGCGCGGGCTTTCGGAAGTTCAGAATAGCCACAAATGGGAGCGAGGTCCTCAACCAGGAAGAAGCAGGGAAACAGATTATGAAGGTGGTAAATGATAACTCAGTGAGACGAAGGCAAAGAACTGGGATTTACAGAAGTTTTTTGAAGGATCACAATGGAACGCTAGTATTTCAAGGCTAGTGGCACCGCCAATAGCCTCTTACGTACGTTGTCTTCATTCAAAAAAAGGGCAAACTAATATTTAGACAAATGCTCAGCTTTATTGATTTAATTTTGACACTAGGAAATCTCACAGCAGAAGTACAAATCATATGTACAAGTATTTATATCAATAAAAATTTCCATTGGTGATTTTTTGGCAGAATGTTGGTTTTGACTATATGTGGAATAAATATGACCATGTAAAATCTGCTGCACAGGGGTGTTCCTGCAAAACGCGTGAATAAATTGAGTGTGAAAGAATAATAATACAAATGGCTAATTAAATTGGGTGATGACTGAAAGGCTATAAATACTTCATTCCAGTTCCACGAGCAGATCCCCTTCTCCAACTGTGTCTCCAGCTTTACAATGCACTGATTGCACCTTGAATTAAAAAAAAAGAAAGAAAGAAGGGAGAGTCAGAATTATTAACCAGACCATGAGGGAGCCATCTCGTCACCCGTTTCTGGAAATGAAGAGACATTTCTTCATTGGGGGCGGAGCTGGACGGCACCCTAGGAGCCAGACGCACCGATGCTCCACGAGCCCTCAACAGCCAGCACTCCCAAGCTCTTCTGCGGCTTCAGGCGGCAGAAATGGTCTGAGTTACTGGTAGTTACTGGTATACTTAGGGTTCAAACACAAAAACAAAACCACCACACAATTACACAAGCATCAGACAAGAGACTCCTAATTAAGAGGAGAAAGCCCTTAGCCTGAGATCATAAACTTCCTTCTGAAGGGAAAGGAAATGCTGTGGAGCTGTGTGGCCGTGTGGTCTCGGTGGCCCGACATGGAGCAGGCACTGTGCCCTCACGGTCTGTGGATTTATCTCGTCTCTAGTCCGGTTTTGCTTTCCCGAATTTGTGTTCCGCTTTAAAATGGGCGGGTGGTATGGGGTGGAGAAGAGGCAGTCTTCTGACTTGTCGGGAGGTTCTTGCTTGGGCCTGAAGACACATGGCGGGCTCGACCTTCCCGGGCATCTGGGCACCCGGCAAACGGGAAGAATGTCCGCGACGCCGGGTTCGGTGCCCTGGCCTGTGTCCTCGCGGCTCCGCTAGGAACTGGAAGGCCAGAAGGGGCCTTTTCCCTTGAATTGCGGCCCCGGAGCCCTCAGAACCCCGTGAACCGATGCAGTGACGATTTCAAAGGCCTGGGGGGTGCCACTGGCCCTGAGTGGCTGCCCGTTCTGATCTGGGGCCTCCGATGTTTGCAGAGGACGCGTCTTGCATGCTGTGATGACGACATGGAGGACCGGCGTCCATTGTGAATTTTCTCCGAGAGGAAAAATGGCTCTCCAGATAAGGACTGCCTGTCCCGAGGCTCGCCAGGGCCTGCTCCTCTGTGCTGGGGCTCCGGCCACTCCTGGGGCGCCCTGCTGGGGCGCAGAAGGAAATGGGATGGGCAGGAAGGACAGGCCAAAGTACAGGTTGACCCGGAGCCCATCAAAGCCCTGAAAGCGGCTCTGGGCCACCGATGGCCAGGGATCGGCTGAGCCTCCGGAGACATGCGACCCAGAAGCCACCGTGAGACCGCGGGGACCCCGAACACACCGACAGATGAGGGCCCCACGCTCCTTCGGGGAGCTAAGGCCGCGTTCATTTGTGTGTTAGTACCTCAGTCCAGCAACAGGGGCCCTCGGCATGCATCGGACATCTATATATGTTCTGGGTCCCTCCAAATGAGGCCAAGTTCCCATTACACCCGGACATTTCATGACACTAAGGCAGCAGAAATGTTAAATAATCCCACGGAGCAAAACCAACAATTTCTACAAGAACAAAGACCATTTCGGGTTCACTTTTAGAAAAAAGAATCAGATGTAGAAGGCAGGATTCCCCAATCGTGGCCTTCTCTCCCAAACACCCTTCCAACCTGACTAGCCAGCTCCAGGCCCGCCCGCCCTAAACTGGGCCTCTCTGTCTCTCTGATGCAAATGCCAGTGTGGGCCGACAGTGCCCCTCTGCCAGGGCACCCATGTCCCCAGGGCTCGATCTCCGCTTCCCATGGCGCAGGCCACGGCGGCCTCTGCCCTCTCCTTGCCCCACCCCACCCTGCCTCGCTCCAGGATGCAGACCCCCCAAACCAAACTGTCCTTCAGAAAAGGCTCCCTCTGCTATGGGTGGCATCTTTGCAGAAGCAGGAAGAATAATGGAGTTATTATTAAAAGGACTTTTCTATTTTCCTCAAGGAGAAAATACATGTGAGAAGTTTTACTCTTAACAAGTTGCAGGGGAAATACAATTCCATTATTTTTTTCTCCCTAAATCATTATGTCCCACACGTGTACATGGGGCTTTCTGCTCTTCTTGATCTAAAATTGAATTGTTCTCTTTGTGGAGAGTTGAAGAGTTACATTAATTCTTGCAATCTCTAAAACCAGTTCCTGCCGTGTCACCTAAGTCTCAGATAACTGACTCCGAGACAGACGTAAACATTAAAAATTAAAGACCCTTTAATTTGAAAGACATTAAGGTGAAGAACAATTGTTCTTTGACTACCTGCACGTCAGACAGATGCTCCATGAGGCAGGGACACACGGGTGCCAGGCGGAAAGAGCTCCCAGTCTTAATGTCCCGCTCTGCAGGAGCGAGGAGCCGGCAGGGGTCACCTCCACGGTCCCTTCCAGGCCCAACCACCCAAGATCCAAAGGTGGAAGTTCTGCTTCCTGTCACAGAGCTGGCAAGGGCTGGGGGGAACTTGGGGACATACCTTGCCAGTTTTCCCAGCTGTCATACTGTTCTGCATTTTCATGGCTTCAATCACACAAATTTCCTGACCTTCTGCTACCTGGAAAAACGAACAGGAAAAAAGACAAGTTTTAAAATCCTTCTGATTTTGCAACACCACCACTGAGGGGTGAAGCCATCAAGAGATTCTTTGTCAAATGCTCTGAAATTTGACCCAAACAGCAGCAACGACCTCTAATACTTCATGTTCCAAGTGAATCTTTGGGAGGCAGCAGAGAAGGGCCATTCCCTCTGTCTTCACCAAGTGCCACAGAGATGTGGCCAAAATGGAATGTTTTTCTCTTCTGTGCAATGTCCAGATTTGGCACATCTCTACAGACGGGAAGACCTGTGGTTTCTGGGGGCTGGGAAGAAGAGGGGAGTGGTTGCTGATGCACACAGGGTTTCTTCTGAGTGGGGAGGAAGTGTTCTAGATTGACGAGGGGGATGGCTGCACAATGAATTCCAGGAATAGACGAGAACCAATAAATGCGCACGGTGAGGGGCCGACCTGCACTGGACGTGAATTTTATCTCCGCAAGGCTGTCACCCAAAACTGGAGTGCTTCCATCGGCAGCCTTGGGGAGCTGGGAAGAGCAGTCAGCCAGGGGGACCACCGCCTCAACCTCTGCGACACATGACAAGTAACAACGAGGTGGCTCCTGGAAGGTGCCTTCCGCCGTGGGGAACGACTGCTAGCAGCCTGCCCGGTCCTCGCGTGGAGGCCGGCGGCTCCCACGGGCACTGGCTCAAGCTCCACCCGCCTTCACTGGGAGGGGAGATCCACGCGGGGCCGGGAATGAGCTCCCCGGGTGAAGCCGCTCTATAGACTCTCTTTCCGTTGCCCTTGATGGGTTAGCACCAAGGAGCTGGGCCCCATTCTCCTCTCTCTGTGAAAAGGGCCTCCCAGTTTTTGACACGGTAAAGCTGAGTTTCCTCGGGCAACTGGCTGGCTACTCTGGGGTGCTGGTGGGCATCCTGGTGGGGGGCTCCCGGACACTCACACCAGTGCGGCTTGTGCTGGCCCGGAGTCGCAGAAGTGCCTGGAGAATGTTCTTCCCCGCACTCCCCAGATGATGCCCGAGCTCCCTCCCGGCCCCCCGCGCGGCACAAGCTGTCTTGCTGGCAGTCAGGGCTGCCTGCGCCCCGCGCCTTCCTTCCCTCCGCTGATCAGGTGGTGGGCTGCCTTTTCCTGGCACAGAAATCTAGGAAGAGAGGGGATGCCAAAGCCTCGGTGCTGGCACAGAGGAGAGACGCTGTGCTGGGGAGCTGGGCTCTGCAGCTCCATGCTCCCCGCCCGCTTGGATTCATTTGCACACCCCCCCCCCCCGCCGGCGGCTGCATTCCACGGAGAGCGAAGGGTCTGCACGCACGCGAGGGCTGCTCTTCTGCTCTTCGCAAGGACAGTGGGCAGGGCGTCGGCACGGCTACCCCCTCAAGTCGTCCCTCCAGGGCAGGCAGGGACCCCGCGAGACGGGAGAAGGGCAAGGCCCCCGGGGCCGCACCTGCCACGCAGCTACCCCCACCCCCCCCCCGCCCCCAAAATGCGGCCGGACCGCACCACGCTCGCTCAGAGCCCGAGGGGCCAGAGCGTCCCGCCCAGGCCTCTGGAAATGGATCTGAAACTCAACGTGACGGAATCGAAATTCTCTCCACAGAGCAGTCATCGGCTCGCCACCTCTGGGTGCCCACGGCGGGGACCTGGGCAAGCTTGGTCCCCGGCCCCCACCCAGCCGGGCTTCCCCTGCTGTCGTCTGAAAGCCCATCCCCGACCCGGTGGGCTTCTAGGGGGTGGGGGGCACAACCTACCCCCTCTGCGGCAGGTTTGACCCCTCTCAGCTGCTCAGCCCACGGCTCAGAATCTGCAGGCCAGACAGAGCGCCCCTCACTGGTTCTTTATGGGATCTTCAAGTAAGCTGATTCACAGTTCATGCAAACAGGAGAAGGAAATGAACCCGGGAGATTGCCGGTGGTCACAGCAACGGGGCACAGACCACCCTGACAAGGATGCCACAGGGCCCACGCTGGAGGGCGGTGGAGCCTGGGCCACGACCCCACACCAGGCTCCAGCTGGCCACGCCGGTGCGGAGATCAGGGCCCGCGGGAGACCGGCCACAAGTTCACGGGGCTCTGCTCCCGTTGCCCACTGGTCGTCCCTCCTGGCTGGCTCTGGGGGCTCGTACCCTGCGTCATTCCCAGGTGACTCAAGTGGCAGGGCTCCAGTCACACTACTCAGAAAAACAAAACCTCTCATTTAGACAGAGGTAATCAGCAGAGGTGGGAAAGTCCCAAAGTTAAAATACTCCTGTCTTTTTTATTGTGTCACTCTGGCAATTTGATTAAACGGACTTCAGAGAAGGTGCCTCTGGATTCACAGGGGCCACCCGGCAGCACTGTCCTGAATCTACGTCTGATCCTCGATCCTCACAGCTCCGGCCTCCTGATCCCTCCTGGTCCCCTCCTGGTCCCCTCCCTTGGTCTGCAGGTCTCCATTTCCACTGCAGTCTGGACGGAACTTTAAGTGATTCACTGCTCCCTCTCTGCTCACTTGGGCAATGGGTTTTATGGTCTGTTTTCACTCATTCATCCCTAGAAGAGAAAGAACTCTTGGAAGTCGTTCCTTGAAACCCCGCAAAATAGGGAAGGACGTCTTGGTCAGCAGAATCGTGTTACACGCACACATGGACTTGATCTAAATTCACACTCTTTCATCCCTCAACAATCCCAGCCAGAGGAGCTCCGAGACGGCAGGCTGCGCTGTCATGGGTGCTCCGCCCGGGGTTGTGGGTCTCCCCCCCCCCACCCCGTGTCCCCCTCGATCGCGGAGCCTGGGGTGCAGAGGCGGCGGCCCGCCTGCGCCTGCGGGGCTCGGAAGGTCGTGGGGACACCTTCCGCGTTTCCCCGGGTGCTCGTGGGCAGGGAGCGCTGGGACAGCTCACACGGGAGGGCACGGCCACCGAGGGCTTTGCGCGCACACTTCTCTAACACTTTTGTGCATCATCTGATAAAGGCTCACTGATTGTGACAGGAGGTCTCCAACATTGGGCTTACAAAATGGTCACAAGCCTCGCAAGTCTTTTTGATAAACCTAGTCAGCCTGATGTACTTCCCTGCTCCCTGTCTAATTGGTGTAAAGTTTGGAGGTCCGAGTCCTGTATCTTTCATCCGGCTTATTGCGTCCTCTCCTTTGACATGGGGTCAAGGTTCACATTCGCATCCGATTATCAGAGCGCACTCATTAAGCGGGGGCCTGCCTCGGTCCAAAATGAGTAAGCTGGAGAGAAAACCCGGCCCATTTACTCAGCAGATTTTCGCATGTTCAGGAGGCTGCATGTCGCCCGGCAGTGCTCCGTGCTGAAGAGTTTCAGACATCTCCAGCTGATGATTAATTGTGAGTGATGGGAAATAAAATCCAGTCAAGCCAGCTGCTTGCCATGGTTGGCAAAATGACTCTAATGGATATAGGCTGCCAATTTTCCAGTTTTACTGGCAAGTCTTCCAAGTGTAATTAAGGGAAGTTATAAATGATATGGAAATCTATCAAGTCCCATTTATTTTCAGAGGACTCTTTCCCCAGAGACTTTTATCTTCAAGCTTATAGTATGCTTTGTTGTGCTAATGATTTAAACCCCTTCTTATTTCTGATTAAAGCCCCCAATATCCTTCTACCAAGTTCGCCTCACTCCTTCCCCAAAGATGAAAAGGCCCAGAACCTTCCCCTGCACACGTCCCTCTTGGAAAGCACGCTAAGACTGGGACACGCTTGGCAACTTGTATCATTCAGACTGCGAACGCATGAAGAAAGCTCAAAGAAAGTGCAGAAAGAGAACGAGCAGCAAGAGGGGGAAAAAAGACCTCCACCAAACATAAAAGGAAGCCCCCAAAAGTCCAGACTTGAAAGCTGTGCTCGAGAGCAGACATTCATCAGAAGGTGGTGTAGCTCACTAATGTTATTTGATTTGGAATAAAAGCATGAAAATGATGGCAAAGGCCTAAAATTGGAGATGTAAAGGCTGACTGCACAGTATTCCATTTCTCAATTTCATCCTTCAGAGCCACAAAATGGGGGTGATACAGTGACGGGATGAGGTTTACAGTAACAGCTGTGCTCTTCCCACACAGGGGAGGCCCTTCTAATGGGCGAAGGTCTGTTTTGAACAGACGGGGAGTAACAAAACAAGGTTCCCTATTAAGAGTGTGCAGTCCTATTTCTGATGAAGAAAATGAGTACGGGAGTCAGATTTCCTCGAAAATGGCCCCTATACCCTCTCTTTTGTCGTCCCAAACCAGGGCTGTTTTAGAGGGGTTATCCTTCCGGTGGCGGGAAGCGGACAGAATGTCACGGGGGGCTTCCCCCCACCCCCCGCCAGCCCACTTCTCCGGCAACCGTAAAGAACATACAGGAAACAGTGCCAGTGGCATATGGCTTTCTACTGCGCTAAACATTCACACAAAAGACAGGTTCATCCGTCATCGCGGTATCTGGATAAAAAATTAGCTCCTGATGGATGGTATTTGGAGCTTACCTGCTGCTAGTACATTACGAGAGAAACACAGGTTTTGAAACCCACATGACACTAGAAGTGCAGACCATGAAATGCGACACGTGCAGGCGCACATAATGTACGCCAGATTATACAAAATAATAAATAAGCTATTTAAACCCTCTGCCTAAAATCGGGCCCGCTGCAAGGAACCCTGGGTCACTTCTACGCAGGCCCATTAATGCACAGCATCTGCTGTGTAGAAGCAGGGCACGAAGCACTTCCGAATGATTTCAGCAATTAAAAGAAAACTGTTTCCTGCCTGTTCAGACAGCAACTGTTTCAATGCAAGAGTGAGCACCAAATCACTGTGTGCAGCTGAAAAATTAAGTCCCCTTTTTGGGGAAGAGGGGTGGGTGGGAGGAAGAATTTTTATGGAAAAGGGAGCCCTTCTTTTGTTGTCCTACGTTCTGTGTTTTTCTGCCAAATTAGACAGAAGGCTCGGAGGGCTTCCCGGCCCGCCGCAGTCCCCCCTTCTCCTGCACCAGGCCACCCGAAAGCGCGGATCAATATCAAC